GCATTGTGCTTGATAGGTTGCCGGTCTCCGAACCAGTGATAATTGCTGTGTGGCCAAAAGCGGTGCATTATGTGACACGGCAACCAAACCAGCGAGTGCCATGCAAGTCCCAATTTCGAGGTAAGAGGCATTGGCAGATGGGTCCACGTCTTCGTAGACAGGCTGGCCCTGTTCGGAGACATGCCCATGTTGAGCTTGCCTAATTTAAAGCCGCCGGAGGTGCGGCACGGGCTCACTGCAATCCTGCACTGTCCTCACGTCATTGCTACTAATACTAACTATAACCGATAAACAAACGTCGCTCAACCCTAAATCCTAAACCCTCGCGCACCAGATTCCTCCGATCCGACTGGGGTCCTGGTAGGCCCAGAACTTGTAGAAGTTGCAGCTGTAGTTCCTCGGCGCTGAAGTTGAGGGCTGCAAGCTTGAAGGAAGGGGTGCGCTACCAATCTGGCGTGAGCCCCACACCCTAACACCTGTAACCCCTCATACCGTCATAACTTCATACTCTGAGACGCTAAGCCCAAAACCCTAAACCCTCATACCCTAAGCCCGAAGCCCTCACACCCTCATGCCTTGACCCCGAGCTCCCAACCGAAAAAACGGGATCCGTGCCCTTTGCTTCGATGCCAAGGGTCCAGAGCCCGGCGGCGACGCCGAAGACGGTGGCAAAAAAGCAGAGGCCACCTAGAACAGGTTGATCAGGGCCACGAAGGGGCAGATATGAAAAGGGCTACTACAAGTTAATATTGCAACAAGTTACTTTTTGTGAATATAAGCTACAACTACTATAAAAATGTTTTTCAATTAATATCAGCTACTGCAGCCGTAAACCCTAAACCCTGAAGCCCTAGACCCCACCCGAAGCCCGAAGCCCTAAGCCCTAAACCCTGAAGCCCTAAACCCCTCAAGCCCCGAAATCTCGATGCCCTGCGGAATGAAAGCCTTCGAACAGCAGGCCGAGATGCCGAGATTGAACCAGAATTTTGGCCCGACACCATGGTGCCTCACATGGGGCCCCGGGAGCTTACAGTGGACTAAGGATTGGGGTTTAGGATCAGGGTTTTAGATGCTTCCGGAGTTTAAGGACTGATTAGACTAATTCATGCTGCGGTCGTTGGGGCTTAGTTTCGAAGGGTCTTTGGGCGCGAAGTCAGCATACAAAGGCGTCGAAAGGCAGAGATGTTGAGCTGGGATGTACACTTGTTCACCGAGCTGTTCTTGATGTTAAGCGCAGTGACAACGGCCTTGCACTTGAAGTATCAGAGGGCCCTGAACCCTTAATCTCACGACCTCCCCCGAAAGTTTGGCATACTGTCGTCTGCAGGTGTCTTGCACATCAGGCCGACCTGATGCGTCCTGACGCTAACATGAACTCCCGTATGAAACCCGAACAGCTGAATTAAACGAAGCTCCATTCCTAGCAGTCCTAGCAACAGCTAAAATTACCGACAGTGGTGCTCATGATGAAGAGAGTCGAAGCTTGTTGAAGTCTTCAGTTTCAGAGCCGAGTCTAGAGTTTGGAATGGAGGCTGTGTTAGATTAGGTTTCTTTGCTCATGAGGCACATGGTTTGGCTATGCAGCCCAAACTTGCAATATCAGAACATCTGCCAAGCCCTGTAGGGCGGCCCGCAAACGACCTCTTAGAAGAGAGCCCCGTGGCCAAGAGGATTATCACTCTGCCACGGGCTTAGGGTTCCGAATGGTGCTGATATGTTCCATCGGTTTGTGAGCCTGTGACCGACCCATCCCAGGACTCACCACAGCTGAGACATTCCCGGAATTCGACCTGAACCCTTGAATTGCTGAATCCCATCAACCCTGAATCAACCCTTCGCAACCTACCCCGACACATGCTTTGAATGGTTCCGGGCAAGCGACTTCACAACCAAGAAGAGCAACCTCAATCTGGAGGCGGAAGTAAATAAGCTGGGTTTGCTGACACGCTTCTTATGAACACCTTACCCCGAACTCTCTGCAACCCGACTAAAGCCTGGGACATGCCCCTAAACGGTAAGATGAAACTTCGGGATCGTGAAAATCGATGTCTCTGACTTGTACACTTGACCGTGATCTGTTGACATCTTCAAGACATCCTGGTTTTTGCGTAAGGTCTTTACTAGGCTTGAAATAGCCGTCGGCCGTCCTAAGTCCCGAGGATTCTCAAGATCTAGGGCTTGTCAAAGCATGAAGGTTCTTACGGGTTCTTATGTGTACACAAGGTGTGTTGGGATCTGCAAAGCATTCTATAAGGTTATACCACAAAGTTGTCTGAACAAGCTTTCGACGAGTTTAGACTTAGAGTTCACGGTTCTGGGTCACGGGCCTTCAGGTTCTCCACTTTGGGTTTACTGTTGCCGGTCTAGGGTTTGGGGTTTAGGGGTTTAGGGTTTAGGGGTTTGGCATCATGCCCTGGTTCGGCAGTTAGAGTTAGCGGCTCAGGGGCTACTCGGCGTGGAAGCCCTCTAAACCCTGGAACCTCTGCACTACGAACCCAATGTTGAAGGCCCGTCCCTGCTACTAGGTCCCAGTTTACTCGTGCTTATTATGCTCATGGTGCTTTGGGATTTAGATTTCAAGCGAAAGACCCACGAACGATCGACTGTGTCATCAGCGTTTCTTCGGGCTTCAGGAACTTGCAGCTTTCTTCGGGGGGAGAGGTTCCGACAGTAGGCCGAAGTGCTTGCGATTTCCCCAAACCTCGAACCCGCCCCCTCCTAGACCCTGAAAATACCTATCCGCGTGAAAACACGAGAGCCGCTTAGCTCTGGAGAAGCCCACACCCCAAACCCTAAAACCCTAAACCCCTACACCCCTAAACCCTGAAGCCTAAACCCCAAACTGCGGGGAGCCACCCTAAACCCTAAACCCCCCACAGTCGAGCCAGAGGGCGCGAGACATAGCTGAGCGAGAGCCAGAGCCCAGGTAACGCCCGGAGCACGCTGGAAACTGCAACTCGAAACAACCTTCCCAAGAAGGCTTGAGCTTAGGCTTGGGCCCTAAACCCTAAACCGCTGCGCACTCCACCCTAAACTTTAGAATAGGGTTTGTGGAATTGGGCTTGCTCTTGAGGGTTTAGGGTTTTGGGTATTTTTTGTTTGAGGTGGGCTTGCGATAGAACGTTACTCACTCGCTCCCAGTCTCTCGCTCTCTCTCTCTCTCACTCTCTCTCTTTCTCGCTCTCTCCCTGTTGGCTTCATTTCTCCTCCACTCCACCCTCTAAACATGAACCCTTACTAAGACCCTAAACCTGAAACTCTAAAGCCGGAGCCCTAAACTTACAAGTTCTATAGCCATTTACACTCTGGGCCGTAAACCCCGCTTCTGAAACCCAACACACTCAAATTTAAATCCTAACTCACAATGGCTCATGGCTTGACCCAAACCTCGGTTCCTGCACTGGAGACCTGCTCGACACCACAGAGTCTAGATTGCCCCACAACGAACGCCGTAACACTCTCACCCTCCTCCCAAAAACACCACACAGGATACCCTAGCCGAACCCACCGAACCCGACTCAAATTTCCACCCCAAAAAGCATAGAGCCCTCAGCCCTCGAAGGAGGCGCGCCAGCAAGGAGGTGAAGAACGCAGAGGGCAGAAATATCAGCAGACCCAGGCTCCTCTTCGCCATTGGTTTTGGGTTTAGGGTTTAGGGTTCAGGATTTAGGGTTTAGGGTTCAGGGTTCAGGGTTCAGGGTTCAGGGTTTAGGGTTTATGGGTTTAGGGTTTAGGGTTTAGGGTTGGGTTCAGGGTTTTAGGGTTTAGGGGTTTAGGGTTTAGCGGCCTCGGATTGGAAAAGCCTTTTTGCAGGTGGTTTAGAGTTGGAGAGGTTGCAAGATCAATGACGGTTCATAAGCCAGCGTATTTGGGAGTTTGGCCTCTTGGCCTGTGGCTGGAGAAATGCTACGATTCTTGCCGCACCTGTAGTCAGAGTTGAAATCGACTGTGTTGCCCTCTAACCATATCCAACATCCAACCCAACTACGGAAGAAGCGTGGGGAGAGGTGATTCCGATGATGCTGCACTGATGTGACATATGAAGGACGAGGAGGACAGTCATTATCAATAATGCCGTTGTCATCATCATCATCATGGTCTTCACTATTGTCGCACCACCACCACCGTCAGCATGAAAATCATGATGCTCACGGCTCACGGTTACTGTTATAGCCGTTGCTTGTGGCTGTGATTTGGGTTCAGCGCTTCGGGACACGGCAGGCCCTCATGTCAACTGGAGTCCAAGCGAACCTCGGGCTTTGGGGTTCGAGCCGTTCAAGCCCCCTGCCAGCCAATAGCAAAACGTATCCCGAGGCTTCAAAAAACCCAAGGTTCTAAACAAATGACTGATTTTGTATTTTAGTATCCCTATATTGCAACTGTAGGATCTACATTCCAGGCGGGAGGGGATTCTGTTCGGGATTCGGGGTCATAGACGCCAAAAGGCACGGAAGCGCAGCTGGGGTAGGGCTTCTGGCCTTTAAGGTCAAGGCTTCGGGCCCCAGCGTTTCATAGTTCGGCTAAGTCTGCAGATCTGCAGTCCCTAGACTCCCTAGACCCCTCAAAGTTCGGCATACTTTTTGTGGAAGCTATGCGACAAGGACGGAGCTTAATATCTCGATCTCCAGACTCACCCTCCTTTGAAGCCGAAGCCCTGAACCGCATAGAAGTGCCACGACGACGCAGACAGCCTGACTTAGTCAGTGTATTTCGGGCTTTAGGGCTGTAGTCTGCGTTGTCGCGCCAAGGCTGGCATTGGATTCTGTGCATTCCAGCATCAAAGAAGCTCGGTCAAGTGTGCGGGAGTCCATGCCCTAATTGAGCTTGAATCTCTGTAGTTATGCATTTCTAATTGCAAAGAACACTTCTCTCGGAATTCGAAGACTGCTCTTGCAATTCAGCACATTCAGTGACATGACGCAGCAAAGACATGGATACCAACATACGCCCTCATGTTGCTCATTCGCTGTTTCCCTCGCTTGCTGAACTGACAAGAAGCGTCAGCAAGGCTCTGCATCCTCAAGAGTGATGGCGTAATAGTACGGCACTGTGTTTGGACCCACACCCATCCCTGTTGAAATCGCGGGAAGCTTGAAGCGGCTGTAGGAAGCATACCGAAACTCCATGGTCGCGTCGGAGTAGAGGTATTCTGATTCGTCCCACTTGCCTTTCACATACGGCTCCGGGAAGGATCTGTTCGCGTTCCATTTCATGAAGGCCCGACCGTCGATGGAATGGGCCAGAACTGCAGCAGCAAGATCAGGCCACGGCCCATAGGTCATCTTTCCGTTTCGGCTCCACCAGTCCTCTGTGACTGTGTGCGGCTGCCCCAGCCATTCCGCCATATCTTTGGGCGTGGCCTCCCACCACGGATCGTTCATGACCTTGCTGATACTTGCAAGCTTATAGCTAAGGCTTGGAAGCAAGAGCCATTCCTGTTCGCGCCTGTTCCACTCCTGGACGTTTTTTCCATGGCATGTCTTGTATGTCAAAAATGTGGGGAAGGCCTCACCCTTCTCCACGCAGGTATATGCGCAGTGTTCGGGCTGGCTCTTCCCCATGAACTGGCAAGCGTGGCTGTAGAGTGTTGTCGTCGACTGGAACCATGGGAAGCTGATCGTCGAGCCGGAATCCAGTGCTGCCTGGGGTCAACACATTTACTGATACTAATTTGTAGCTACAAGACTAAAGATGCTCGCATTAATCATTACAGCATTATGCCTACTCGTAATACTTCTAACCTGAATACTCTCAAAAATGGTAACCACAGAAATGAGAATCATAACGTCGTAGAAACATTAATTACTCATCATAACTGAAACCGTGCCCCCGGAAGTCGGTATAAATGCTGACCCAAAATGAGGGAAACTTACATGCGGAGCCGTATTACGACAGGAATAAGGCCAATGAATAACAAGAACGATAACAGTAGCAATACTAACAACAGCAGAATTCATAGTGCTAATATGGCGATAACAGCAATAATACTCCTACTAGTAGTAGTAATGATAAAAAATCACAAATTTCCAAAATAAGGGTAAACTTATAGTAAATATACATAAAGATAGTAGTATTGATGATAGTAATAACAATAACGATAGTAGCAGAAAGCGCAATATCAATAATGGTGATCAATAGTATTAAGAATAATGATAATGGTATTCAACACAGCAATAAGAACAACAATCGTAATAATCATACTAATTGAGATACTTAATTGAGATACTACTAATAACCATACTAATAATGGAAACAATAGTGAGAACAGTGAGGATACCAACAATAATCATAATAGTTCCAATAGTAATAATGGTAGAAATAATGATAATAATCGTAGTCATCGTAATAATAGTAGTAATAACCATGATAGTAACAATAGGAATAATAGCAATAAATATGACATAGTTACAATAATCACCACCCCAAAGCCACGAATTTCGGAAGGTCTGCACCTGCATCTCATGAAGCTGCTGCGCCGAAGTCCACCCTCCCCGGTACAGCTCCACTACGCCCGTGGCGGGCAGCTTGTTCAAAGTGTTGGCCAAGGACACCTCGAATATTCTGGGAAAAATAACAATACGAAAAATGATATAGTAGTAGTAGCAGTAGTAGTAGTAGTAGTAGTAGTAGTAGTAGTAGTAGCAGTAGCAGTAGCAGTAGCAGTAGCAGTAGCAGTAGCAGTAGCAGTAGCAGTAGCAGTAGCAGTAGCAGTAGCAGTAGTAGTAGTAGTAGTAGTAGTAGTAGTAGTAGTAGTAGTAGTAGTAGTAGTAATACCAATACGAGAAATGATCTTGCAGTACTAATAATAATAACTACAGTAACTACAGTAGCAATACATGTATTCAAAGCGTTGGCCCGGGACACCTCGAAGTTCAAGACAGCACGCACCATTCCAGCGGCGTTGCCTCTGCGATTGTCCTCGCGGAATCCCTCGTAATTTTTGGGCAACAACCCATGTCCGATCTGTCCCATGGGTCGGGAATAGTCGTACTGGCCCAGGTAACTCTTCAAGATTTTGAGGTCTTCCTTCGTAAGCTTCTTCCCCTGCTGCGCCGGATCCCACCACATTAAGGACTTCCATGCATCGGTCTGCGATTGGTTTGAGTCAAGCACGACTGTCTCCTCGCAAAACTTCACCTGGACTCTTCCATCTTTCAGGTCAGTGACTTTTGCTCTGTTAAGGCTTTTATACCCACACTCCTTCAGCTTGACAGCTGTTCGCACAGAAGTGGCCGGATATGCGCCCAACAGGACCACAACCAAAAACGGAGCGGCCCAGCACGAATGCAGCATCATGAAACGCAACTAGCTTGCAGACAACGGCTCTATACAAACCCTTGAGAACCACTTGAGGGTTGTAATATGGCTTCTTGAGATTAGGGATAACGTCTGCGCAGAAAGGACAAGCTGCAACGCCCACGGTGCCCAGAAGAAAACCGTGAGGACTCGCCAGAGATGTACACCGTACACTGTGAATTGGTAGTTTCTAGTGGTACGGCGCAGGGGCGAGCATCCCTCTCGCCACAAGTGATCCTCTCCAAAACCCGCAACATAGGGGCCTCAATAATTAGAATAGGGTTTTGGGATCCAATATACTATGGCAATAATAAGGAACCCCCCAAAATAGTATTGGCAATTATTTTGGGCCTTCTATGAAAAGAACCCCTTGCCAGCGACACTCCCGGCGGGGCCTGGCATGGTAGCTCAGCGGCCGGTTCAGAAGAGGCCCATGCAGCATGGGGGTCTCGAAACCCCGTAAACCCTGCAAACCCTCCCTGTACTGAACTTAGAACCCTAGCAAAAATTATAATTTTAGCTGTTTCTTAGGGATTATAATAACCAAAAAATTAAAAAATATTTCTAAGTGCCCCTAAGCGCTATAGAGTCCATAAAGCTTGGTCTGGGATTCTAAAAGAGTTCTCTAGATGCAAACCGGTGCTTCCCCAAAAAGGGAGCCCTCTCCTGAGGAAGCCCTACAAGTGGCCTTCACGCACGCCGAAGACCTTTGAGTTGGGCCGCAGTGGCTTAAAAAGTTCGGGCCCGGGAAGTGAATACTTACAGCACTGAACCTTGAGCGCCAACAAACCATAATGCCCGAAACCTACACCTGGTTTGAGGGTGTCCTAGGGTGCATTGCACTTACTGCTCTGGACCTGGGCGTTGGCTGCTTCCTCCCTCCGCGGCGATATGAAAGGGACTACAGCAGAGGTTGGGGGGGTTTAGGGTTCAGGGGTTTCGGGTGAAATAATAACCGCTGTAGTAAAGCCGTACAGTAACCCCATAGTGGTAAGCTAGCAAACCCTTTTTGTCACCTTATGCTTGTTACCTGCTTCATCTGAGCCAGACCCCAAAAGCTGCGGACGAAGCTTGCTGCAACCTCTGGGCCCTTGAAGGCTTAGGATTTGGGTTTTCGGGCTTCGGATTGAGGATTTAGGGCTTAAGGCTCAGGGCTTAGGATAGGATCTAGTGTTAAGTTTAATGGCAGAAGCACCTGTGCAAACAGCACTATTTACAGGTCCGAACATGGAATACCTTTTCGTGACACAAGATAACCCCAAGACCCGTCACTCGCCAAAGAATAACTCATGCAACATTTATTGCTCTTACTACTCGTAGTACCGTTACTACTATTTCCACTACTGTATTCGTATCTCTAGCACTACTACTCCTGCTACCATCACGGGTGTATGGCGGTATTTCTTGCGTTACTACTATTGCTTTTATTGCAACAGCTGCTGCAAGAGGCCAGACCAAGACTCAGGATCACTATCTCGACGCACCCACGTCTGACCTTGAAATGTTCCGCGCAAAAACTAAGGAAGGGAGGGGGGGCGACGAAGGAGCCTTATATTCCACCCCCCGCACCCTGGCCTGAAACTAAGTTTCTGAGTTTCGTCACTCCAAAATCTAGATTCCGAGGGTCTGCTCTGCACAAGTCGGACCCAACACGCCTGCTTCCGGAAAGCTCGCAACCTGCTTGGGAACTCAAGATTTAGAGCTGTATTCAGGCTGTGGCTTAGGGTTCAGGGTTTGCAGACTTTAACACGTCAAGCTTTGGCAGGTTATGATTAAACCTTCATCGTTTGAGGTCCACGTCAAGTATCAGGAGATTGCCACTTCGGCGTTTAAGCAAGGTAGCACGCAACCTAGTGGGGATTATGATGCTTCTACCCTCAGTTAAACCCGAAGACCCTAAACCCCAACACCTACTGATTCAGCTCCAATACTAGGATCCCTAAACCCTGCATGCCTTCAAGGAACCCCAGCTGCTGCAACGGTTCGGTCTGAATTGAAAGTTGAGGGTTTAGGGTTTAGGGGTTTAGGGTTTAGGGTTTAGGGTTTAGGGGGGGGTCGGGCTCAGCCTCGTGAGTTTCGAATTTTGGCTTCGGCTTTCCGTGAACGGTCTATCTGATGTAGGGGTTAGAAGGGGCCCCCACCCTGTAATAGTGACCATAAGGATTATATAGGATTATATTAGGGCCCTATTATATTCCTATTACAGGGTGGGGGCAGCTTCTAATGTAGGGGCCTCAGCACATAGAATACGATTTGGGGCCCCTTTAAAAGTACATTTAGTTTATGGGTGGCTGCCTTCTCGGGTGTAGGGACAGCATTGAGCTCCAGATTTGCTGAAACCAGGGCCAGATATGTTTAGCAGGCTTTGAAAAATGCGTTTGGGTTGGTCGGAGGCTTCGGGAGCTCGATTTCGGTTCGGGGACTAGCGACAGGAACACCCGCAAAGCGGAAACGGGCCTACATGGATTTTCAAACATGCATTTTGGTGCGTTGGAAATCAAAAGAGAGCATTTGCAGTAAGACTTTCGGGTTTAGCAGTACGATTTCTGGTTTAGAGGCGGCATTGATCTCCAGATCTGTTGAAACGAAGGCCGAATGTATTTAGCAGGTTTTGGGAAATGCATTTGAGCTGGGTCGGTGGCTTGGAGAGCCAAGCCATGGAAAGCTGCAACTTGAAGCTCTGGAACTCCAAATTTTTGAAACCAGGGCCAAATGCGTTTGGCAGTGTTCGGAAAATGCGTTTGGGGTTGGTCGGGGGCTTCGAGAGCTCGATTTCGGTTCGGGGACAGCGCCAGGAACACCAGCAAAGCTGAAACAGCTCCTAAATGTGGCAAAATGCATTTTGGTGCCCTGGCAACCAAACGCGAGGGGCGCAGGTTTAGGGCTTAGCGGTTGGGAGTTTGATACCAGCAGCGCCCAAAGGCACGAACTTCTTTCTGGAAGCCCGTATTCAGCTGAATGTTGGCTTTTTGGGGGTTAAGGGGTTTAGGGTTTGACGAGACAGAGTGCTTGAAACGTCGGGAAGCTCGGCCGATCCCAGTTTTGTATGCTTAGTCGGCTCGCATCTCAGGATTCCAAGTTCGGGAACAGTGCGGGGGTTCACTTGAGGAGTCGCAGCGAGAAGAGCACCCAAACCCCCAATGTCAGTCTACAGGCACCACGGTTGACGAACTATAACAAAAGGCAAGGAGCACAAAGCACAACAGTAAAGGCAACACAAGACATCACAGGCGGAGCAGGATCGTGATGATGATGGCTATTTGATACAGATACTATTACACTGATGCCATATTCCTTCACATCACCCGACAAAAATTCACCTGAAGACTCTTAACAAGCTCACATGGCATCAAAAGACGCATGATACGAAAGAACAAAGCAAAACCGATTCAAGACGCCACCTCCCCCAGCTGTGAAATCCTGCGATGATCTCACACGCTAGGGCTTCTGGACTCTCGGATTCGCAAACACAACCTTGAACCTGCCGGACTCGAGCCAGTTCAACCCTAAACTCTAACCTCTATATCCGAGCCCCCTAGGCTTTATGCCGTGCGACCCTGAAGCTCTGTTTCCACCTGGATTTTTGCTCCAAACCCGGTTCGATTCAAGAAAGCCCCCCAAAAATTGAATGCAAATACCAACACCCTACGCCACTAGGCCCTTACCATCAACCCGGCACCCAAACCTCTAAGCCCTCTGAGCCTGTCCCTGCAACTCCGAGCTAGCACTGCGGATGCCTTGCCTGAGAAGGGCTATGCTTAGGGGTTCAGGCTTGTAAAAGCCCGACGTACTACCCTAATGGGCCAGCGCCGAGCCCAGGAGGGGCAGCTGATCTGACTTTGGGTTTTCGGCTCAGGGTCAGGGTCTTGGAATCCGGGGTGTTCCGGGGTGTCAGACAAACGGAGCGCCCCCTAAACCCCAAACCCTAAACCCTAAACACCATAGGAGCCATAGGACTTCGTCTTGCATCAGTCTGCTTTTTTCGTTTTGCCTGGTACTTCTTATACACTCGTATTCAGCCATCCATGGGCAGAACCCATCTTGCGGGGCTTCAAAGGTACGGACAAATAGGCTCTGCACTCAATCATATCACGCTGCTGTCCTGGAGGCAAGGGTTTAGGGTCTAAGGGGGCCCTCCATGGCTCGTCGAGGCTGCCTTTCCGCCAGAGCTCTTCGAGGTAGTTCTCGTTGACCAAGAGCTGCACACAGCATGACGGTACCACCATGCGGCTGGCATAAGACCCAGGTTTGGCCAAGAAGGCATGTTCGTCGGAGGCAGCCTCCCGAGGTGTTGCACAAGTAAATCTTTCTTTCTCACGTTTGGGGTCTAGGGCTCAAACTTAAGCCCTCTGGGTCCAGGCTGCTGGACTGAGTTGAGCACGAGCAGCTTTACGAGCAGCTAGAAGGGTCGGGGGGGAGGGGGTAGGGGGCCTTAATACCTATACGAAGGACTTAATAAGGCCCATTTTTAAGGAAGTATAGTCCCCAACCCCCCCCCCGTCTCGATGATTTTGGGGTTTAGGGTTGTAGGGTTGGGGTTCCTGAAGCCCCACACAACTAGTGTACACTGGAACAGGCGAGAAAGGCTCAGAACATCATCAACGTGCATCTTCGCCTCGAACCATGCACCCTACAACCTAAACCTCCGAATCAAAAACCAAAACCATAAACCCCTTAAACCCTAAACCCTCTAAACCTCTAAACCCTCTAAACCTCCAAACCCTTTGAAATTAAATCTCAGGCTCAGGCTTCAGATCTCGCAATCCTCGACGGATGGGCGCAAAATCCTGGGCAATCGCCCGAGGACAGACGGGCTCAAGATCTCTACGGGGAACCCGGCTCTTTTCAAGGCAACGTACACTTTGACTTCTGTACGAAGCGTCCAAAGACAGCTCTGATGAGGGTTTAGGGTTTAGGGTGTAGGTCTTAGGCATTTAATTTTAAAAAACACCTTCTTCCAACGGCAAACAGTCACACATCAACAGCGGAGAGCTTGTGGGCAGGCAGGGTTGTTAGGAGCTGGCCTTAGCTGGCGAGCTTCGATGTGACGATTACGAATACTGAACTGTTTTGGGGGGTCCTTATTATATTTATAGAAGAAATGGGCCCCAAAAACCCTATTCTAATTATTAAGGCCCCTGAGTATGAGTTTAAACGAAGAGAAACAAAGGAGGATCGGATGCGTGTTCTTGTCACGGTAAATACGGTTTAGGGTTGAGGGTTAAACCCACCCACCCACACACACACACACACTAGACTAGACTAGCGAACGAAACGAAGGGCCGAAACAAGATGATCTGTTGTCAATAGTTGATCTGGGGCTGAGTCTTAATGTCTTCAATTACTAACCGGCTTGAGACCGGTCCAACCGCAGCATCCAGGAAAAGACCCCTTTTGAATCAGTGAAGGAAGCGAGATGACGGGTAAAGAATGCAAGCCTGCTTTCGGCCGTTCGCTTTGCCAAAATTGGTCTATTGCCCTTTGCTTTCGCTTGTGTGATGTAATTAGTTAAGAAACGCACTCCGTTTATTTCTACCTTAATCAGCCACACAAGTAACACAAAGGAGCGACTGGTGGCGTGTAATGTGAGTCCAGGTCTTAGGTTACAACCTAGGATCCTGTGGTAGAATTAGACCTAGAATACTCTTGCTGCCGCCTGAACTAGTTTCGAAGTCTTCCAAGAATTCTCTCCTTGGTGCTTAATTGAACAAAGAAACAGGTAAGCCCTCTTGGAACTTAGTTGCTCCGCAGCTCGACCTGAACTTCAACCCGCAGCCCAACACCGTAAACCTTATGTTAGAAACCTGAATTTGAGTCAAGGCCTCGAGTTGTATACCGAACAGAACCCTAAACCCTTCAGAGGTCAAGTAGCTGTGCAACCGGCCTGTGGGGTTTGCAGGCCAGACCAGTCTAGGTTCGTTTGTACCTTTGACTTGTAACCGTTCGTTCCGCAACCAACACTGGAAAAAGGGCCCACAACGTGGAAGCCTTAAAAGCACTAAAAGGCAAACCCTGTTCCCTAAGTCGTAGTAATGGTTATGGTGAAAGCTAAAGCCAATCTCGCCGACTATAGTATAGTTTGCTTATAGATCCCTTACAGATCCCTTTAAAGGAACTCTTAAAAGGAACCCGTATTAAAATTATCTATAAACATAGTTCTGATGGGATCTCCTCGGGTGTCCACCATAAACGTAACATGAATATGAATTCCCCAGGAGCACCTCCCTCAACCCTCAAACCCCTATGACCTTGAAGCGTCAAACCCTAAACCGAACCCCCAAACCCTGAGAACTAGTTCATTGTTGGGATAACTAGTTCATTGTTGGGATAGGAAAAATATTACATTTGTATTCCTTATTGGGTTCAAGTATCCATAATAAATATTCAACGTTGCCCAACTATTACAAAGAAAAGCGGGAGCCCAAGAGTAGGGCCCCAAAAAAGCACATAAGCAAAAATTAGGATAGGGATATCCCATATAAACCCCCTTATAATGAAGCCCAATAAGATAGGGATCTCCCCATAAAACTGCTTATGATTATGTGCTTTTGGGGTCCCTAAAAGAGGAGCCATGCGCCCCCAAAACCGTCCGTTTGCCTTCCGCACGCGGGAGGTCGCGGATCTCTGAAGCTCCAGGGAGTTGCGGAAGGGGCGACCCACCGGACGGGAGCACCTTTGGGGCTTTAGGGTTTAGGGTTTAAGGGTTTAGGGTTTAGGGTTTAGGGGTTTAGGGTTTAGGGGTTTAGGGTTTAGAGTTTAGGGTTTAGGGGTTTAGGGGTTTAGGGTTTAGGGTTTAGAGTTTAGGGTTTAGGATTTAGGGTTTAGGGGTTTTGTGTTGTGAGCTGGCTCTGTAAGTTATTCTATGAAGTTTGGAAGGCACCAAGGCTTTCTTTTAGGGCTTCGGGTTGATGGTTCAGGGCTTGGTAATTGGGAAGTGACGGTTTAAGGGTCTCTGCAGTTGGGACTTGAGGGCCTTTAGAGTGCTTCCCGTCTAGTCTTTGGAGCACCCGGGACATATAGGTCTTTACAAGGTGGGTTCTATGGGTGGAAGTTTTGATTTGATGGGTTTCGGAATGATGTTTGGGCATAGGGTGGGGATGCATGGTCTACGGTAGGGATGAGGCTTAGGTTATCCTAATAGTATGGAAAGGGATGAATGCATATTTTTGAGGATGATTTCTGGCTAGAAACCTGGGTTGTCCAAACTCGTGCCCGACAGCCTTACAGCCCGAAGCTCTACTAACAGCTTAGGCTGCATAGCCTAGACACAAAGCACCTTGAGCTCATAGCACTAAAAAGTTTCCTTCAAACTCTGAAGTCAGGAGGTTCGTCGAAGTCGAGGAGGAACCATCACGAAAACCCCATGGCTCTGGCTTCAAGAACCGAAGCAACGATGCCCATTAACTGTAAGATAGAGCCGCCGAGCCCAAGCCCTAAAACCGCTAAACACTACTGTACAAACCGCAAAACCCTAAAACCCCTAAATTGCTAAACCCTAGCCCTCAGCAACCCTATGCTTCCTCTTTAAACCCTTATCACCTTCGTATCCCCCTCGTAAAACCCTCAACACCCAGAACTAGAGCCTACAAACCCAAAACCCTCAAACGCAAACCTGGCAAGGCTGAGCTTACGGCTGGAGGAGGGCGATAAACTCACCCAGGGTAACGACCTCAGCTTATATAGGGGCCCTGATAAAGAGAATTGGCTTTTGAGGCATAGCATGCTACAGGCATGAGAAGGAACCTCAAAATATTGTCGGCAATTGTTTATAAGCCCCTATACTACTCGTAGACTCCAAGAAAAGCCGCCGCCTACCCCTAAGGCTCCCTTCTTCTTTCAGGTGTTTCTGAGAGTCTTTCTGACGCTTCATGCAGGCTGCGTGAAGGTTGTAGCAGGGTTCTGTTTGTGGCGTAAAGAGCACTTCCTTGTCTATAGGTCCTTGTGACGGAGAGGGGGGTAGGATTCCAACTGCACGGTCTCAGAACAAAAATTCCATACCAAAAGGACCCTAAACCCTAAACCCACATCAGGGTTGCAGGTCTCTCCATCTGCAGTTTGCCTACTTTTTCCACGGGCCTGGAGTGACGACTTAGCGCGTTGGGCCGGCCGTCGCGCGCACGTGCGCGCTGGGCTGTACAAAGCTGTACAGTGTGAGGGGGACTAAGGACGAAGTTAAAAAGCCGCGCCCGCAGTTTTCAGGGAGCCCCCCTGCAATCTCTGGATTGGGGTCCTGATTACGAACAAGTTTCGGACCACTGCCGATGGATGAAATCCTGCGTGATCCAGGAATATATGTTCGCATTTGCTGGGATTTGGCGACGAGGGGGGGGTACTGAAGGAGTCCTTGGTGTTATGTGGGGTAATCCTGGGTGGACTCTCTGAGACTGGTGGGACGGACGTGAAGTCGCCCCAACGCAGATACTTTCTGGAGATTGGCTGTCGCCGCACATTGGCAGGCAACTCGGAGTTGCTCTGATAAAAGCCCCCTGTGGAGTTTAGGTTTCGGGTGTTGGGGATTTTTTGTGGGTTCTTTACAACCAGTAGTTTGATGTGAACAGGTATATAGGTTGACACCCGGAATCGGAACAACTTCCAGATTAAAGTTGGTCGGAGTTTGGAGGTCTTGGGAAAAGCAAGAGCCCCAAAACTGTCTGGCAAGACTGCGGTTTATGGTGCTTGGTTTCTGACGGATATGGCTACGACGGCTCAGGACATACTGCTGATGGCTTCGGCTGCATTGCCCAGGGCACGCGGGTTCAGAAGCTAAGGACTTACAGATCTCGAGCAGATTACATATGTGTAGGGCTCAGGGTAACTCCTCTGCTGGCTATTCACACTAAAGCTGTCCTATCAGTGCCTTCCACAACACTGACAGGGAGTTCTTGCATCCTTGGGAAGTGAACTCCTTATAAATCTTAAAGTTTGGAGCAGACTTTGGGGCTTCACTGCAGAAGCCCCCAACATTCGGATGGAAGGGCCTTGCGCGGCGATCTTCTTGCCGTGAAGCAGGCACGCCACCACGGATCTGTACACCTGTGGCGCGCCACTCACTGCCATCAGCTGCATCGCGCACTTCGGGCGCAAACGCAAGGCGATGGAGTGAGGTGGTCTGCAATCGGGGCTGCAGGCACGGTCTCATCGCTGCGGAGCGTCTTGAGCTTCGCTGTCCCGCTGGCTTGCCCACGAAGAGGTGGCTGGTAGAAGAAGGTCGCATTGTCATCTGAGTCCGCTTGGTCTTCGTCCGTCTCCTCCTCCTCCCTTTCCACATCGTCATTCTTTGTTTTCTGCTGGGCCTGTCGAAAGGCAAAGGCCTCACGACCGTGGTCGCTACCTCGGCTGCAGGGTGACGGCGCTGGCTCTTCCACCTCGAAGTGAATCACCTTGTAGGGTTCTAAACATCGAGACTTCAGATAGGGATCCTAACATGAACGATCTCGCCATTCAATTTCTATTTGGTGTCTGGAATTTCAGATAACCCAAAAAAACCTTAAACCCTCAAGCCTTACGTTTTACAGTTCCTTATCTAACCCCAAAAAAAAGCCTAAACCCCCAAGCCTAACATTTTACCGAGGTAACTCTACCTAAACCCTCAAGCCTTGCAGTTTGAAGTTCTTGCCTCTGTCCGGCCAAATCTGCAAGCCTTTGTTCCCGAGTCGAGGGAGACCCGGGCCGCCACGAGGGCCCGGGAGCGTGCTGTAAGCATCACGACGCCATGCCTCAGCTCCAAGTTGAGCTACAGGGTTTAGGGTTTAGGGTCTTTTTAAGGGCTTAAGGCTTTCTTTTAAGGATTAGGTTCTCCAAGTTGAGCTATAGGGTTTAGGGTTTAGGGTTTTTTTAAGGGTTTAAGGCTTTCTTTTAAGGGTTAGGTTCTCCAAGTTGAGCTATAGGTTGGGTACTGCCCCCATACAGTAACAGTCTATAATAGGGCTACTATTAAGGTCCTAAGATATCTATATTATGAATCTTATCCAGCTGTTGCTGAATGGGAGTAGTACCCAAGCTATAGGGTTTAGGGTTCAGGGCTTAGGGTCCAGGGTTTAGGATTCAGGATTTGGGTTGGAGGGTTTAGGTAGCATAACTTAAGTATCGCCTTATGGGGCCTTCGGCAGAAGACGTTCACCTGAGCTACCATAACCAGGAAAGTATGATAACATATACAATTCTTTCGTATATCCTTGCTGCAGCAAGTCGCTGCGCCATAGCGAGGACAGCTTTCTACCTACTAGATACGGCCCCTGTGAGGACAAGCTTGACACCTGAGCCTTAAACTCCGCACCCTGAACCTGGACGAGAGCCCAGATGCTGCTTCAGCCACTCGTCCGTAAGAGCCTCCAACCCGCCGGCTGTTACCAGCTCGATCGCTTTTGCAGAGATCCGGCCAGACAAGTTCCTGACTTGTCCACTTTGGAATGGGTGATTTATTAGCTGTTGTAGTAACATCCCATGTGTTACTGATTCATGGGTAGTTTTGCAAATGCCCCGCTGAGGACTTAGTCTGACTCTGACTTGTTGAAGGTAGTATTGGTCTTGTGGCTTGGGATTCCGGGGTCGGTTTAGCGCACTGGGACCGAAAACCCCGAACTACAAAGGATAGACTTCGCCAAACAGCCACATTGACATGTCTTTGGGGTTTTGGGGTTTTGGGTGCAGGGTTGAGGGTTTAGGGATCGAGTTACATACAAAAGGAAGTTCAGGTGCTTCGTTGGCTCCTGGGTCTAGGGTTGGGATTGGGCTTACATCAACCAACAAGCTAACTTTCGCGATTGCATGCGGGTTACACTACTGCCAGAGCGGTTGAAGTTCACTTGCTCGGCTAGTGTATAAGGGTCTTAATAACTACCTATACTACTTTGGGGGTTCCTCATTACAAATTTAGTATAATGGGCCCCAAAACCCGATTCTAACTATCGAGGCCCCTGAATTACCGAGGCTCTCCCGGATCACCCAGTCTTGAATCTCTGCGGCTGTTCGGACCATGGCCCCACACTGGCGGCTATGACACTTCATGAAGAACTCTGAGTCAAGTCTAGTTTGCGCAAGGCTTCAGCCTCGTGGCTGGGCGGAACGGGAAGTAAGGAAAAGGCCCGGACCATTGAACGCAAAGCTTTTGCCCGAAACCGTCAGACAACCGAAACCCGAAGCAGCAATCGAAAGTGGTAAAAGTGGAGAAGCCACACACCAGAAGCCCGATCTGCCCATGCTGTGGTGAGAAATCCTTCCGAAGCTAGCGCAAATAATCCTGTAAACATCAAACACCCGAAACCGCCAAACCCTCAGCAGCACCCTAAGCCGTAGACTCGAGCTGGCGCAACAATCCTGTAAACGTCCAATGCCCGAAACAGCCAAACCCACCGCAGCACCCTAAACCAACCATGAACTCTTAAACCCAAACCAACCCTAAACCCTATAACGTAAAGGGAACCCGAAAAACAGCTGCAAGGAAAGTGCTCTGAGGCCAGATCTCCTGCATTCCTGCTCACTGGAAAGATGTGTTTTTTGGGCGGGGGTGGCTTCAGATTCGAAGGTTTGCTGTCAGGGGCTTGCTCTAAACGGGTACCATAAGGGTTACTGTAGGGGGTGTGCCTTCGGGGATACTACTACCTAAGAGAGATACCGTGGAGGGGTGTAGGTGGCAGACTTTAAAACAATCTACAAACTCAGCCCTCCTAAACCCTAAGTCCTAGACATTAGAAACCTACAACCCTCAACTTAAGCCCCTAAGCCCAAAACCCTTAAACCCACTATAAACCTTACACCGTTCAACCCACAAGCCACAACCGCTCTCGTGAGCATCCGCTTGAGTTTGGGATTCGCTTGAAGGGTCGACTGGAAGTCTAGGTAGCTTAAGGTGAAAAATGGGCCGTGATAATTAGAATAGGGTTTAGGGGTTTAGGGTTTAGGGTTTTAGGGCTTGGGGTTTAGGGTTTAGCGTTTAGGGTGTAATATAGGGGCCTTGATTTGAATAGGGTTACTTTAGAAGGGCTCTATAAGTGCTACTATAAGGGCTACCACAAGGGCTACTACAAGGAATTATAAGGATTTAGTATAGGGGCCTGAAGAATTACCTGCACTACTTTTGGGGGGGAGTTCCTTAGCGTTTTTTAGCATAATGGGCCCCAAAACCCTATTCTAACTATTGAGGTCACTATATCAGGGTTCCATAAGATGTCGAAAGGGTATTGCAACTAGCAGGCCTAAGACCCCAGACCCCGAAACCCTAGACCCAAAAACAGATCTCAACCCCCTGAGACCCCTTCCAACCCTAACACCCTTAACCGTCAACCCTGAATCTGCAATTGGCGCCTGATGTCCAGCAGATGGAAGATGGCCGACGCCTCCTCTGCCGGCATGCGCATGCCTGCCTGTCCAGCAGTCCATACAGGCGGGGCTCCGAGCCTTTCGCAAGGCCTGCGAAGGGTTCAAGACCTTGAACCCCTTGAAACCTCACGGAGCCCCGCAACCTGAGACCCAACCCTCACCTGCTGCCCACAAATTAAAAAAAGAACAGTAGGTACTGGTCCCATAATCATAGGGCAGAACCCTTACAATAGCCCACCCATCAAGCCCCACGCGTCATGAAGCCAAGCAAAACCTGCCGAAGGACCCAAATATTTGGGTGGGTGGCGGGGGGGCTATCAACAGCTGCCGACCTGCCTTAGTTCGGAGTTTCATGGGTTTCATAAACGCTCCGTAAGCATTCGTTCAGCGCGCTTTTAGAGCAGAAAGGGATGGCAACCTCAACTCCTGCAGATGCGCAGCTCTGCAGAAAAGCTCAAAAATCCTAAATCCCGAAAGCTGCGTCTGGTAAGCGGTTTTTCAAGCGTTTGCACCCAGAATGTCAAGAATTTGGGAATGTTTGAAGGCTACTGTCACACAACACTTCGGGTTTTAGTACCCTTCGAACGCGTCTCTTGGAAGAGGCCCTGGGGAACTCCTCGGATGCTGCCCGCCTTCTCCATTTCCCGAGCCTGACATCCGGGGTTTCTGAGGGCTTGGGGCTTGTGAGGACTGCTTATAGGGCTTGGGTTGAAACGCTTTTGCATGAAGCGCTCTAGCGTCTAGCGCTGCAGGAGGTCTTCGACTTCAACTCAGGCTTTGAGCAAAAACATCACCAGCTTCTGAAGCCTTCAAGCCTGGATGATTCCCTGTCCGCAGGTTCTGAAAAAATGCATTGAGGTGCCTTAGGGCTTACGCTTTCGAGTTCAGGCTCTTTGAGGCTTAGGGATTGAAGTTTGAGGCTTTAACTTGTCGGTGCTCGGGGCTAAGGTACTGCGTCCGAGAGCTGAAGAGTTCGAGGTTGGATTTCAGTCTGGGGTTTAGGCTTTGGGCTCAGATGTTGAAAAAAATCCGGGCTTAGGATATGTTTCATATTCATATATGTATGTATATATATATATGTTAATATACATATATATATATATATACACATATATATACATATGTATATATATATATGTGTGTAGATATATAATCTGGGGACCTGAACACACCTCGCATCTAGGAAGGCTAGCACTACAGTCAACACAAAGATCCCGAGCTAGATTTTCGATTTATGGCCATTACAGGAGCCACCGAAGCTCGGGATCCTGAAGCGACCAAACCCTTGTAAAGCCCTTATACAAAATCTTCTGGATTCCCTATACTACTGGACCCCTTATGGCACACTTATGAATTTTAAAGCCCTTTAAAGCCCTTGTACAAACCCTTCTGAATTCCCAAAACGTACTTCTAGATTTCTTATGGCACGGATACCAATCAAGACAGAAAATACAACGCTCCTCCCTAAGACTCAATTGACCCCAACCCCCCGTAAACCCTAACCCCTAAACCCCTTGAGCCCTAAACCCCTACAGCCCTAAACCCTAAGACCCTAAACCCTAAACCCCAAACCCCTAAACCCTAAACCCCAAACCCTAAACCCTAAACCCTAAACCCCAAACCCCCAACCCTAAACCCTAAACCCCTAAACCCCAAACCCCAACCTTAAACCCTAAACCCCTAAACCCTAAACCCTAAACCCTAAACCCCCAACCCTAAACCCTAAACCCCTAAACCCAAAACCCTACACCCTAAACCCCTAAATCCTAAACCCCTAAACCCCCAACTGCTCGGGCGTTGGCGAACTGCTCCTCTTCGAGAGGCAGGCGCTTGTCGGCGACCTGCGGCTCTCTCTCTGCGGTGGATTTGGGACGGCCCCATACAGTAACAGTCTACAATGGGGCTACTATTAAGGGCCATATACATCTATATCATGAATATTATCCAACTGGGGGCAGTAATTACCCAAAACTGCGCGGATGAGGCGTTTGGGGCTTTTGGGTCCTAGGTCCTTGGGCTTGAAGGTTTCGGGGTGGCCTCAGCCTGCCGTACTCAAACTTCTCCCCTCATCATCATCATCATCATCAGCGTCGTCGTCGCCGTCACTGTCACCGTTCCAGTCGCAGTCGCAGCCGTAGGAGTAGGAGTAGCAATAGTAGTGGCAGTGGTAGCAGCAGAACCAGCAACAGGAGGAGTAGTAGCAGCAGCATTTGTTGTTGTTGCTGCCGCTATTGCTGTTGCATGTAACATTTGTGGTGGAGCGGTTCAGCATGGAGTTGAACTTGCGGCAAAAATCCGGAAGCTTAACGTCAAGGTCGACTGCAAATCTCTGGGGCTGCCTAAGCCGCTAGCTAGGACCACTAGTATCGCTTTGGATTTGTTTGGGCTACGCCTTAGATAAAACATATACAACTACAACGGAAGTTTAGAAAGCACAAATGCAAATTGTGTCCAGGCGTTCTATACAAGCTGTTTCACGATGTAAGCACAAGCCCCACGAAAACTGGCAGAAACCCAGTGTGAAGCATGCATGCATGCATGCATACATGCATACATACATGCATGCATGCATTCATACATACACAGGTAAGATAACATCGCATCGCATCACATAACATCACGTATCACAACACAACACAACACAACACAACACAACACAACACAACATTACATAATGTTACATAACGTTACATACAACAAAACATGACATGACATGATATAAAGGGACATGGAATGAGATAACAGAACAGAACAGAACATATGCTGTATGCACACATACATGTCTGCACTTATTGCTTGGGTTCCTCTTTATGACGAGATGCACATCGGCAGAAAGCCAGCAGGCGAGACCCGGCCTGGCTAAAGGCTTGCGCCTCCCGGCCGCCCAGCTGCAGTCGAAGGGCCTATTCAATTGGCTTTCGGTCGGGCTCTTCAGTCCGGATCCCATGAGAAAAAGCACTCACCAAAGGATGGCGGTGGCGGGGGCGGGGGGTTTAGAGATTCGCCTCGGTTTCATAAAGGCTCATGGGTATCGGTCTGTAATGAAGGGTGGATGATGAAAGTAGTTTGCAAGGGTTGTAAGGGTTGGTAGCAGGGCGCTTGAGGGTTTAGAGACCCGACTATCCATTTATGAAGAGCCCGTTATTGAGTGGAGATATCCGCGTGCACGTGTGCATTTGCAAAAGGATAGCTCAAGGTCGCTTGGTATGAGTCATGCCCTGCAACACATTGTGCTACATGATGTTGTATTGATACTTGATGGACACTCTTGTGGCAGGCAGCTATACGGTTCGTTAAGTTTCCGGGATTTAGGTTGTCCAGTTCTGGTGTTCTTACTCGGGTTCGGTAAAAGGTCACAGTGAGAAAGGACTTGCCATGCTCTGCGCAACTATCGACGAGAAAAGTTCCCTGGGTGCTACACTTTGGAACTTGCAAACCCAACGGCCAAGTCGTTAAGGAATACCTTAATTACATCATATTAGGGATCCTACTATAGTTTAAGGTATAGTCCTTAACTGCACGATGTGATTTGCGGGATTTTCTTGCCATTTGTCGGCCGAGGGTTCGGGAAGAAACAGTTCCGCTGGAATCGCCGCAAAGTAGAAAAGGCGCAGGCTGGCTTTCCCAGCTAGGAGGGCAATATGGGGGATTTTGGGGGTTCCTTATTGTATTTAACCCGATTCTAATTA